CCCTCCCCCCCCCAAAAAAAAAAGGATAAGTTCACCATGCACAGCTGCTTCGTTTTGATAGCTAGAAGTTTACCACTATAGGGATGGGCAACGTACCTTGGAGAAAAAACAATCACCTGCCCTTCATGACCGAAGACCACCTCTCCCTCAAAGTAAGGTAGCCAAGGCAAGAGATCCGCACCCACACGTGCCGCCCCTGCGCTTAGCATAACCTGCAATCATACGCACAAAAAACAAACATGTGATGACCCGTCCAAACATGGACTGAAACACAGCTGATTTCTGAGTTTTGCTCATAGACTGAATGCCTTGCTGAGTTTCCCACCTGCTACTAGGTCTGTGTGTGCACGCTTGCTGGACCGCATGTCTGTCTGAGTGCTGGTTGGCTTGAGTGTGTGTGTGACCATGCCTGTCTGAGTCTTGGTTGGCTTGGGTGTGTGTGTGACCATGCCTGTCTGAGTGCTGGTTGGCATGAGTATGTGTGTGGCCCGTCAGGGCACTTGCTCGTTCGTTGGGCCCTCAGGGGCGGTACTTACCTGTGGCCGTGACATTGAGGGGTTGCAGCGGGGAAAAGCACTCAGACAGACATGCGGTACCGCACCTGGAAGGGGTAGATGTGCAGGTACCGGAGGCCGAGCAGAAGAAGACAAAAGTGGCATTTTTAGAGGCCCAGTAGTGTAGGCTAGGTCTAGGCGGGTACCAGTCTGAGTCTAGGGCCTGCACAGGCAATATCAGAGTCTGCAATGATGTTTCCCTCCAAAAAGGAGGTACCGGTTGCTTGGAAGGCCAAGCGGCCTGGAAGTCACCGCCCAAGAGGCAAAGCAGGCCACTATATCTTCGGGCCGGGCGAAGAGTCCGGCCTCTTTTTCAGTGTGCAAGTTTGGCGACACACTGGTGGAGTGCTGGTTGGAGCAGCGCTATGCTGGAGCAGCGCTGCTTGGGAGGAAGGAGAAGGACACGGGGGAGGAAGAAGGAAGGAAGGGGGAGAAGCGCCAGGGGTACTTACCTGGCTATGGTGGCAGCCATCTTCATCACCTTGGTGGGCACTGCAGCAGGGAGTCCCCAACTGGGGAGAGTTACACCAAGAAGCTTCGAGGCAGGGTCAGGCATGGCGGCCGAGCTAGAGCAGCCATAGCTGCTTTGGGTTGTCTTTTGGGCATCTGGGCAAGGCCTAGTAGTCCGCCATAGCCTCGGCCTATGAGAGTGAAGAGTGGGAGAGGCGGCCATGGCTATGGTGGACCTCGAGTGATACCTGCAGTAGAAGAGGAACTCGGACATTGATTCTGGATCAGCCATTCAACATTGTATTATTATTTCTTGTATGTGCTGGTGTACATCTTCTTCTTCTTCTTTCTTACTTCTTCTTCTTCTTCTAATCCTCTCTCTCCTCTCTAGCCTCAGCCTATGAGAGTGAAGAGTGGGAGAGGCGGCCATGGCTATGGTGGACCTCGAGTGTTACCTGCAGTAGAAGAGGAACTCGGACATTGATTCTGGATCAGCCATTCAACATTGTATTATTATTTCTTGTATGAATAAGAGAAGGGGGAGTTAAGGAGAAGGAGATTGTTGGGCGAAGAAGAGCCATGTCATTTGTCTATGCTGGTGTACATCATCTTCTTCTTCTTTCTTACTTCTTCTTCTTCTTCTTCTAATCCTCTCTCTCTCCTCTCAAGTTCATTCATTTCTTTCTGCAATTGGATGGCATTGTACTTTCTGATGGATGTGTATCTCGAAATTGGCCAGGATCATAACATTGGTATCAGAGCGGATTCTACTTGCTGGTGAGAGTTGACTTTGCTGCCCTGACCCTAACCTGAGTGGTTGAGGGCACCACTTAGGGTTAGGGTTGGTTCGTGAAGGGAAGAGGGGCAGCGTGGCAGAGGGAGGCTGCCCCCACCTGGTTAGGTCACGGAGGGTCGACGTTGAACCTAACCAGGTTGCTTGAGAGTGAGATTAGGGTGGCGATACATTTCGAGGAGGCTTCATGCAGCAATTTGAGAGAGGCGACGGTGAGGGGCACTCGCACCTGGAATCTGATTCAAGGGAGACACTTGGCAACTTAAGGGCTGCCCTCAAGTAGGCGAGCTTGAGGGTCAGCGGCCACTCAGCATCTACAGACTGCAAGTTGCTACTTTGTTCTTCAGCATCGACGGGGGATTCGGCGTTGCACTTGGGTGTTGGAGTCAGACCCTCCTAGGAGGTAGGACACTAGTGTAGGGGTAGCGTTAGAGGGGTCAGGAGGATCACATGAGAGGGGGGTGAGTTCTATTCATCTTGAAGCTCAAGGCCACTCAGGTAAGTGTCATGCACCTACGGGATACCCATGAATGTGTGTATGGTATTGATTGTCCTGATGGGGTACTCTGGGTTTCTTTTCCTACTCCTCTGTGGTCTTGATTGTGTGACTGAATGCATGTGATCTACCTACTCACCTTATGGAGGGAAAATGAAGTATCTTGATCTAAATGCCGAGTCTTTCTGCAGTGCTTTGTCTTTTCATCTCTGAACGGTTGTAGTCTGTAGGTTCTGCCGGAAGTTGAAATTTCGTTTCTCAGTACAGTAGAAACTGAACTAAGTCCAGGAGGGACTTCTCTAGGTTGGGACCTGGCCGCGACCTACGTGGGACCTCTGGAACCCAGTGGGACCGGCCCAAACAAGAAGAGCCCTTTGGGCCCAAATCGGTTAGGCATTAGCCCATTGTCTTCTGACTGTGTTACGGAGTTCTTTCTTCTTGGTTAGGACACCCGCTGCCGAGGGGATCTCGGCTGAGACGTTTCGCATGTCTTTTGGTTGCACTGTCGGTGGCTTGACTCGCACCCTGTACACCACTCAATTCTCCATTGTTGCATTTAGTCACTCATGGTCTGATTTGCTGTACGGTCACGGAGCTGGTCAGGTTGGACTCTAGAGGACCTCGTATGCAGTCTGATCAGACTGGGTTGCTGGATCAGACCTCTCGTTTGAACTTGTTTTTCTTTGGTTTGCTGCTCTCTACATCCAAATGAAATGCCACTCCGGCTAGGAGTTCTACCTTCTCTTCTCTGAGCTTTCAAGTCTGTTTTTGTGAGTTCATTTCCGATGCCCGTGGAGACCCGCCGCCAGAAAGAAGAGAGAGAGAGGAGGGAGAGGGAGAGAGGGAAAGTGACTGTCTGGAGTGGGCAAGGACTGGGAAAAGGAGTGTTCGTCCAAGCGAGAAGGGGAGTGAACCTCTTGAGAGTCTAATTGATTCTTTTGCTGATTGGCGACTCTCTGACCCACCTGTCAATACTAACGGTCCAAAAATGGCTCAGCTAACTTCAGTGCAATGGCGGGCCTTGTTAGATGCAGCCAGTGATGCGGAAAAAACGTATCTACAAGCACTCCTGGATAGTGCAACCAAGAGGGAACAGGAGGCAGAGAAAGAGAGGAAGGAGTCATTGCTGAAAAGGCAGGTGGCCATCCTAGAGATTGTTCCCTCACCGACTGAGGAGCAGTGTGGGGAACAGTTGCAGTCTATACTCACCGCCCTTGTTCAAGTCAGGAATCTTGAAGATCATACCACGCAGATCGCTTAAGTCTTCACAAAGTTGCAAACACTTCAAGATGATCTGACTGATATGACCCGCAAGTACCACGAATTGACAGAGGAGGTGGCTGAGCTGCAACAAGCCCAAGTGGCCTACCCTCTTCCTCTACCCCCTGGATCTGGAGCTGCAATTGAAACTACCTCTGCCTCTCTTACTGTATCTTCTTCCTTGAATGTGATCGCAACCTCCTCGAGACCTGCAACAAGTACAGATTCCGCTGTTGCTGTGACAAGCAACGAGGCTGGAAATTCTGCAACTGCTGCAGCCCCAAGATTGGAACCAGCAGGTGCTGGTCCCAGCTACGTCGGTCCCTATGTGGACCGAAAGGCGGTTCAAACACGGCAAAGAAGACATCGAATCCTGGATCAACTCCATGAGGGCATACTTCGAGGTTCTGGGGACTCAACCTGAGACCCAGTCCGTGATCATGGGAATGAATGTTGAGCCGGTCGTGCGGGGCTTCTTAGAGGTCCAAGCTACACAATCTGGGATTCCCAAAATAGAACTAACAAGGTGGCTTAAGACCACCCCGGTTGTCATTTCAGAATACTTGGATCCACATGCTGCAGCAAGGGCAAGAATTCAGCTTGACAAAATCAAGCGCAACAAGTAGACGGGCTCCATGAAAAGCCTGCAGACCTACCTTACCAAGAAGTTCACTACACCCGGATTGGAATTGACTGCTCAATCTTGCTTGGATCTGGTCACAAACGCGGTTCCCACTAGCTTTACTAATCGCCTACGCAGGGACTTCATTGGTTACAGTGACTGGTTCACCTTAATGAAGGACATAGTCAGTCTTGAGGTTGTAGACCTCGTCACCACAGCAAGCAGCAAAAAGCCCATGGGCGGCTGGCGGTTCAAAGGCAGCAACCGTTTTGTTGTGCATGACCTGCTGGAGGCCGAAGAAGAAGCCGATGCAGATGACCCCACTCTTGGTGACGACCAACAACAGGACTCTGATACACCTTGTTCTTCGGCCCATGAGTCTGATGCAAACCACGAAGAAGAAAAAATTACTGCCTTCAAAAAGACTGCCAATACAAAGGGGCCGAATCGAAGTTCAGGGAAGAACTACGTCCAACAAGGGAGTCAAGATCCCACCTAAACCGGAGGATGCGACTACTAAACCTTGGGTCGACCTCCGGATTACTTAAAACGACTGGCGGGGTAGACTCAAGAAGGGGGTATGCCTGCATTGCCAAAAAACAAACCATAAGGTACAAGATTGTTATAGACTGCAGGGAAACCAGAACTGGGCGTAGAGTCAACTTCAGCAAACTCTACAGCAGGGGAGACTAGATCTGTTGCAAATCAATAGTCCTCCCTTGAAGCCCAACCATCTGTTGAAGACAAGGCTGAGGTGAGTAATGTTTTGTATGTCGAGCCTTGGGAAGAGTTTGGGGCAGTCGACTTCCACTACCACTTGGAGCACTGGGTTGAGATGAAACAGCAGTGTGCCCAAGGGACTGTGAAGTTGATCTTCTTCGAACTTCTCATAAACCACCGTTATCTCCGTGTTTTGGTTGACTGTGGTGCTACGGCTAACTTCATGTCACCGCACGGGATACGCGAGGTGGGCTTGGGGATGAAGCAAGTGGCCTTGCAGAACCCTTGTCAGACCCAAGTGGGCAGCCAAGAAGTTC